AATTAAATTATAGAAATAAAGCTACAAGTAAATTCGCTTTTTAAAAGTCATGTTAGTTTTCCGAATAAAATTTTTATAATTTTGCTATATTGATACTACATCAATTTTCATAAACATCAGAGAATGTGTGTTCGATAACAAATAAAAATCTTATTGTCTAATGCAATAAAATATTATTGTGACCTTCGGAACCAAAAATACGGATTATTGACCAATCGCTGTGATAAAAATAACACGAGAAGAACGAGAAGAACGTGTCGCACGTGTGCTTCATTAAAACTTACGGGTCGTGAAACGACCTCCAGACTTGCTGTTCTCGCTTCATTACTTTATAATCGTTTATTTCAGAGAATTTAAAATAGAAGTTATGTTAGTATTAAAAAAAATATCGGTGCTTCTTGATAAATAGAAAATTATTATTATTACTTTGAGGATCAAATTCTGATTCAAGAATATTTGGAATTATTAACAATTGATATTCATACCGGAAAAGAATCTTTCTGCATCATATATCATAAATTAGATATTCCTTTTTGAAAAGGAATTTTCTTAGAAGAAGAAAGTACTTTATATAATATAGAGAATCCTTGCAATTTCGTAACAAAAGAGTTTAAGGAGATGCACCGATTATTCTTTTGTTATCTTAAAATATCAAGTATAATGGTTATTACATATCGTAGGATTTAGAATAAAGATATTTTACTTTATAGAATACAGAAAGATTTTATATGAAATTTTTTTAGATTTGAGATATGTATTACAAGAATTGGAATTGGAATATGCATATGGAGTTTATATCGTAATCCGATCGTAATTCGATGAACGTCGCTTCCGATTCCTCGAATGAAACTTTATTTGAAAAATTGGAATTTATTTCTACTACACGATTCCTAAAACGAAAATGACTCTTGACAGGAAAATGTGAGAGGAAATTAAAAAAAACTATAAAAATAATAATGGAATTCAAACTTCATTCAAAAATTTTGAATAATTTGGAATTACTTCGGGGTATGTATGGTGTTGCCAGCAAAATTAAAATCGATGGCTAAAGTTTGATCGCAAACTGCTACTGTTATCGTGCTTGTTTAATTAACATGGATATGTTTACGCTAAGTGAAAAATTTTATTAACTTTTAAATGAAAATTAATCACGTGTGTGTGTGCGCGCGCGCGCGCGCGCGCGCGCGTGTGTGTGTGTGTTGAATGGCCTAATTTAAAATATAATAAATATTAAAGAAAAAATTATTATATTGATAATTAATTAT